TGGGAATTTCCCCAAGTGGGACTTTGACGTGAACAAGGCAGTGCAGCGTGAGGAGGAGCTGACTGCCCTGTCCTGCTCCCCAGTCTCCTGGCCTCTGTCCCAAGTGGGTTTGGGGCCCCAAGAGCTCTTCCTGAGAAGGAGGGTCCCTACTGAGCAACCCACAAGGAGTGCAGAAAAGCCGCTGGTTTCTGTGGCAGGCGTTACAGGTGACGGGTGAACTCTGTGAAGACACATCACAGAGCTGAGCAAACCCCACTCAGCTCCAACCCGCAAGGAGCTCACAGACCAGGGTGGTATGGAAACCGCTCTCTGGGGGCCCTGGAGTCTTATGAGCCTTCCTCTGTCATGTAGCCACTCATTCATTTTCCTTCTGCCATTCCTTCCTTCCTTCCTCCCATCTGTCTGTCTTTCTTCTACATTCATTTATCCATGCACCCCCTCCTTCCCTTCCATCCGTCCATCCGTTCGCCCATCCATCTGTCCATCCATCCTGCTCATCCATCCATCTGTCCATCCATCCGTCCGTCCATCCATCCATCTATCCATCCGTCTGTCCATCTGTCCATCCNCTGTCCATCCATCCTGCTCATCCATCCATCTGTCCATCCATCCGTCCGTCCATCCATCCATCTATCCATCCGTCTGTCCATCTGTCCATCCATCCGTCCATTCATCCATTTATCCATCCATCCACCGTCCCTTCCTTCCTTCCTTCTTTCCTTCCTTCCTTCCTTCCTTCCTTCCTTCCTTCCTTCCTTCCTTCCTTCCTTCCTTCCATGTACGCATGTATCCATCCATCAGGCCGCATCAACAGCTGCCAGGTGACACCTGCGTGCGGGTACTTGGGCTATAAAGTTCAAAGGTGCAGCTTCGTGTGCTGATACATGTCAAGGAGGTCCTGGGTCCTGTGTCCTCCTTGGCTTCGCAGCAGTGAGGGTCCCGACTGGCTGCCGCTTGGGTGGGGAGCCTGCTGCGGGGCGCTGGGCGGGGGGGGCGGGTGAGTGGTGTTTATCGAGCCAGTTTGTGCTGGCTGTGGTGAAGTGAGAGTGAACCCGTCCCAGATTTCTCCCTTAAGGTCCAGAGTCAGGGCCTTTTGGTTTAAATACAGTGTGTTACTGACAGGGAATTCGAGGAGGTTCCCACTGCACATTGTGGGAAAATGTAAAGCTACAGCCAAGGAGGAGGCGAACTGCACAATCACGCTGTCCCTGCCTGACGTTTCCTGCATTTCCGCCCATCTCTTTTAAGGAGTGTATAATTTTAAAAATTAGCCTCTATCGATTGTACATGTTTTACAACCTGTTTCTTTCACTTAAGAGATTCATGAGTATGTTTTATATCAACAAATTCCCTGCCACGACGTCGGTTTGCGCAGCGGCTCAGAGTCCGCTGGTGCTGGCGTGTCTGACTTGATTTCTCCCCGAGCCTGGTGTTGGCCAGCCAGGCTGTGGGTGGATTTTTTTTTTTTTTTTTTGAGCGTTTGTAAACTGCTGCAAGAACACCTCTGGCACTAAATGGCTCCATGCACCCAAGGGTGGGGACTCAGAGTCATCTTCGCGCCACCGCCACCACCAGCACGGACTCCCTCCTTCGGACCGGGAGGGCCCGACGGTTTCCACCCCCTTCTTGGGAGGATTTGCCGGGGGCTCCTCCAGGTGCTCTGGCCCCTCGGGGACACGCACCGCAGGCTTCCTGCCCACCTGCTGTGCCTGAGCGAGATTGGAAGCTGCAGCTCAGAGGCTGGCCTGGGGCGCCGGATTGGGGGCCCTCGGGGGCCAGCGGGACAAGCCCCACTCCTGCTCCCTCTGCTCGACTGTCAGTGTCCTTCAGCGGCTCCGTGCCTCGCAGGCCATCCCGAGATGGACCCCCGGGGCGCCCTCCTCACCCTTCTGCAGGCCTTGACCGAGGCTGTGGGATTGCCTGTCCAACCCAGTCCCTGGGGCGGGGGCACCCAACCTCGGCCCCACATCTGGGCCCCCTGGGGGTGACACAGGTTCCCGGGCCCCGCCCCGGAGGGGGGCCCGGGGTGCGGGGTCTGCGTTCTGAAACTCCGCCAGCACGTGTGAGCAGGCTGATAGGCTGCTGGTGTCAGGGAATGTGTCCAGCCCGACAGGGGAGCTGGTGGAGAGTGTGGGGTCAGAGTGGGCCGCGGCTGGGTGGGGACGGGGCCAAGACTTCCACCCCCGGTGCACACCCCACGGGCCTCTGCCGGGTGTCCCCTGGGCTGCCCCACCCACTCCTTGCACCCTCCCTGGGCGTGCTTGTGGCTCCTCCCGGTGGGACTGGGCCTCTGGGACCATGTCCTTCTGCGGTTACCCCCACCCCGCCCCTGGGCACCCCTTCCTTGGCCCCGGCGAAGCGGTCGGTGGATCACTGAGCCCAAAGGCTTGAGCCGGTTGTATACATGGAGGAGGGGGAGCCGATCTTTGTGTCTTTATTCCATTTGTTAACGGATGCAGGGGAGATGTGGAGATAAAAGTTGGGAAAATGTCATCCTTTGACATTTACGTTTTCAGAAGAGTCAGAGGGGCCGTGGGCTGGGAGGTGTTTGCTCACCGCCCAGCCTCTCCATCCGGGATGGGGCCGCCTGGCCACGGGAGCCACGCAGGCTCTTCGCTCCCCCTGCAGGGAGGTGCGTCCTGCACCCTGTCTTTTCCCGTGGGGCTGCTGCTTCCCCTCGTCTGACCCCAGACCACCCCGGAGGCCCCACACCGCTCCCAGCAGCCCCTGCCCTTGGTCACCTCAGCGGGGACCCCCGTGGAGGGCCCCCCCAGAGCACTCCCGTTTCTGCACCGACACCAGCCAGGGAGTGTGCAGCCCAGTCGGACCCAGGGCCAGGGCACCTCCAAGAGGGATGCTGTCCCTGGCTCGATGGGAACCCGGAGCTGAGTCCCTCACAACTGCCGATGAGCGATTCCAGCCTGGAGCAGAGTGTCCATGGGCTCAAGCTGTGGTCACGGCTGCCGGGGAAGCTGCTGTGTCTGCTGGGACGGTGGGTACATGGACACGGCAGAGACCTGTCCCCTGGCTTCGGCTCCCGCTGTATGAGGCAGAGGCTTTGCACTAACTGCAGGTCAGGGGACAGGTCCCGTCTCCTGGGCCAGGGCTGACCCAGGCTGGGGAGGAGTGCGGCAGAGGCGAGGGTGGGGGTGACCTGTGTGCCCGAACCCTTCAAGCTCTGGTATTCCTAGCTTGCAGCGAACACCAGCAGCGTACAGCAATCATGCTTTCGTAAGTGTTCTCCCTAAATGCTCCGCGCCGTCACAAGCTGGGAATAAAAGCCGTGGCCAAGATGCTCATTATTCCAGAAAGGCCCCTGGGCACACAGGAGCGCAGGGCCGCGGCCGGGCCAGCCTCACGGTGAGCCAGTGAGTCCTGCCTGGGGAAGCACAGAAGGACCGGCCTTCCACGTCTTCCTCACGCCCACGGCCCGGCCCCTCCAGTGTGACCACGCCCGGGAAGGCCCCGGAGCCCTCGGCTCCTTGGCTCGGGTTGCCGGCCGAGCACAGGCGCTTTCTGTACGGCTGCGGTTTTCCTCTCCCTTTCAAAAAATTGCAGCTAGAACAGGTCTGCGAGATGCGTCTCAGCGGGGGAGCTTTGGGCAGGAGGCCTTGCCTCAGTTTCCCAGGCTCCCAAATGGGCAGGATGTGCACGTAAAAGGCCCGAAGGGCTCGGTCCCTGGGGCAGCCGGCAGCTGGCAGAGGGTGTCTGTGACTTTGTTCATGGGCCCTGTCGCCAGACACACAGACTGTACACACGCGCGCACACACAGCACACAGATTACACACGGGGACACACACAGACCACGCCCGCACACACACCAGCACGCGCACACACCCAGGGACACACGCACACTTACACAAGGAAGCCTCGAAGGCCGGGTGGTTGCAGGTGCGTCATAATTCTGTAACGAATTGTGAGCAGCTTCATGCGTTTTATTTTACTTATTTAAAAATATTTATTTTTGGCAGAGACAGAGTGAGGGAGAGCACACACGAGCTAGGAGGGGCAGAGAGAGAGGGAGACAGGATCCCAAGGGGGCTCTGCGCTGAGAACAGAGACCCCGACGCAGGGCTCGAGCTCCCGGACCGCGAGATCATGACCTGAGCTGACGTTGGATACCTAACTGACTGAACCCTCCAGGCGCCCCTCATGCGTTTTACGCTCTGTGCGCAGGGGTAGCCACCCCCCGCCTCAGTTTCCCCGTAATCCTCTGCAGAGCCTCATGCCTGCTTGCTGCCTGTTGTTTTGAGATCGGTGGGGAAATTGTGTGGGGGCTTCGGAGGCTGGGGGCAGGCGGGCCCTGTGTGTCTGGAGGGGGCTGGCCGGGGCACAGGGCACGACGGGTGTCACGGGGGCAGCCGGGCAGGACTGGTCTCGACAAGTCGTTTGGTCTGGGGAGAGGCCGCTCGGACCCCCTCATGCAGTCTGAACCTGGAGCTCTTTGTCTTCTTCCCCTGAGCCTTCGAGGGGCTGGGCCTCAGTTTAAAAAGTCAGACGGAGGGAGGAGGGGCCAAAGAGGAGGGAGCACTGTGTCAGCGCTGGGCCCCAAGTTGCTGTGTGATTTTGGGAAAATCGCTTGACTTCTCTGTGCCTCTCCTGATCTCCTAGCTGGGTTAGCACCTACTGCGATATGGCAGCTTCCAGGTCAGCGGTACAGGAGGGGCACTTGGGAAGCCTGACGCCCGTCAGGGCTCTCTGCGGCCCTGACGAGGTGAGCCCCTGCCTGGGGTTAACGGCCGCTGCGCCTGGAGGCTGGAAGGGGTGAGGCCGGCCCCGCTCCTCTGCACAGCCCTCAGCGAACACTGGGGCACAACACATTTTGCGCTGTATGCAACATGGGTACCCGGCCCCCAAACGTGACGCGGTGAGTGTGGGATTGTTTTTTGCCGAGATGAAACGCGCTCAGCAAACAGCTCTGCGCAGACTCTTCACGGCGGTTCTGTGGCGACTTTCTGGTTTCTCGTGGACTGACGGAAGCATGTCTCTGGTCTCCCCAGGTCATCTCTGCCGTGTCCAGACTCTCCCTGCACTACGTGGCCCAGAACAAAGGGATCAGGTGAGCTCGCCGGCGCTGCCGATGCCGCCCTCTCTCCTCCCCGCCACCCACGTGCCTGGCCTCAGATACCAGAGTTTTCCGCAGATGTCCCCAGCCTGTGTCTTTATCGTGAATGTTCAACGTGGTATCGTGTCGCCTGTTGGCAGCGGCGGGAAGGGGCTGTGGGGAGAGACAGGGGGTGGCTGCGGGTGGGGGGGGCCTCCGCTTCCCACCAGGGGGATCTCGCACGCTTGTTCAACTGACGACTGCGAAATCTCTTTCCATTTAGGCAGTAAGATCAGCAAATTAATCCTTTCACAGATCATCGCCTGCCTAAGCACACTCCCCACGCTTCACCGCTGGGGGGCTCTGCCTGAGCCCGGGGGCCGGCGTGGCTCTGTGACAGCGGCGGGCCTGCCCCGTCCAGGGGCCTCGGGTCCCCGGACTGGACTTCTCCCTCCCGGTTTTACTGCTTTCAAAGCTCAGCCTCAGAGAATCCCGTGACCCCCGGGGTTTGGCCTCTGGCCTCTGACACAGGACTGGGCACGCAGGCAGTGGGGATGGCGGGGGGGGCGGCCCCAACGAGAGTCTGAGATTCAGGTGGGGGGTCAGGGAGACATCCAAATGGGGAGCAGCTTCCAGATCAGGTGGGACAAGGAGAGGACCCACCCTTCCTCAGTGTTCCTGGAGGATGTCGGCCCGCAGGGTGGGGGTGAGAGGTGTGGGAAGACCGAAACAGCCCTGCCTGAGGGTGAGGTGCGCGGGGTCCCCAGCAGCTGTGGACCCTCAGTCCCAGGACCATGGTGCTGAGTACTTACAGGCCGCCCCAGCCGCCCCTTGGTGGGGCTGTGTGCACAGAGTCAGAGTCACTGGGACAGATACGGTGAGGGGACCCCCCCCCCCCACTGTAACGTCACTTGTCAAATTCTCAGAGAGAGAGTCCTTCGGATTCGGGGTTTTGTTGCCTGTTGTAATGCCAGACACAGGATAGGCTGTTCCAAAGGCCTTTATAGACCATCCGCTGAACGCGTACAAAAGGGCACTTCTAGCACGTTGAGGGTAACAGATCACACTCTGGGACAGCAGGGACGGACACCTGGAGCCTCCCCTGCCCCCCAGCGTCACCCGCTGGTTTTCAGGGTCGCTTCTGTGAGGCCTGCAGCAGGGACGGTTCAGAGCTGTTCATTCAGAGTAAGTGTGGTATTTCTGGATACAAAGGAGTACGTAGTTTTCGTTTTTTGTTTTTTCCCTGGAAACGGTCGTCCGTCGGCTCTCCCGCTAGCCCGTCTCCCACTAGCCCGTGCCGATCTGTGGGTTGTGGTCCTACTTCCGGTATATTCTTCACCTGGACGGGTGTCTGCGTGCACACGTGGGCAGGGGTGAAGTCCGGCAACAGCACTTAGTCGAGTTATTTGCTCCTTCACGAAAGGCGAGAGCCTCATCTGTTCTCCGTGTCCATTTCTCCCCAGAGCAGGGCCTGGAGTGGGGGGGGGACGGTTACATTCGGTGGGGGAGATGAACCCCGAATGACTTTGGCTTTGCCCTGAGCGGGTAGTCCTGCTGCCTTCCAGGCTCTTTTGTGCCGCTGCCTCCAGGGCCCAAGAACGAGTTAACCCTTCAGTGCACCAGGAGGAGGAGGAAGTAAGGGGTAGGAGGGAGGCGTTTGCAGCCAAGGCAGGTCAGGGCCTCCCCTTGCCCCCCCCCCCGCCCCCGGGACCCGCAGCCTCTGCAGAGAGAGCTCCCGCCTCTCACCTGCACGCTCTCCTTGCCCTCATGGCTGGTTGTCCTCTGTGCCTCCCTCCGTGCGCACTTTCCCTTCCTGGTCTGAGGTCGGATCCCGAGGAGCTCCACCCCCCGCAGCCCCAGCCCACAGCCCGGCCCAGCACAGGGTGGGGAGGGCGCTTCCCACGGGTGACTGGGAGCTCTGGGGACCACCAGCGCTTTGCAACAATAACTCCTCCCCATTTAGGAGCAGTTCACAGCGTCACTAATTTCATGAGGGTTCAGTTTGGCCAAACCCTATCTTTTTTTGAAAACCCAGCCACCAAGCCCATAGCCCTGAAGAGTGTCTTCACGTTTGTTTCTTGGCTGGATAGGGGCCTGACATGCTCCTTTAGAAAAATGATCATTTTTACAGCCCTTGCATTTTGCATAGTGAGCTGATTTTCCGTAAAAGCCCCAATTATACTTCTCAGAGGCTGATGAATAGGGGACTTAATCTGAGGGCCCCACCCTGGTGCCGGCTGGAGGACCGGAAGTGCGGTTGGGGTTGGGGGTGGGGGGCGTGCGGGGCCTTGTGACAGCCAGAGTTGGCTGTCTGAGTGAGGGGCATCCCGTAGGGGATCGTCACTGAATGGTGGGGCCAGAGGAGAGGGCAAAGGGCAGAGCCCTCCCTGTGATTGAAGGTGGCAGGTGAGGCCAAGGAACCCCCCCACAAAGGTCCCCTCTTTGAGCCACCTGCTGTCCCAATGGCCTTATGCAGGGATGCTCTTGGGGCCTCTGTCTCTTTTTCTGTAGCTGGGAAGGGTCCCTGCTGGGCAGTCACTGTGAGCCTACACTCTGCACAGCACCTGACACCCTGTGGATGCCCAAGGCGCTGGCCGGGGTGGCGGGTAAGAGGGGACCCCCAAAAGCTACACCCCCTCCCTTGCCCCCAGCCCTTGTGGGACAGGGAAGGGGTTCCCCGCAGGTGTAATCAGGTTGTTATAGATGTAGTTACATCGTAAGGAAAAGAGGGAGGCAGGAGGGTGGGAGCGGAGCAAGGACGCGGGGTGGCGCAGCAGAGCTTGGGTCGTGTGGCCACGAGCCGAGGAAGGCCCGGCTCTCAGGGAAGCGCAAGGAGCAGGTCCCCCTGGAGTCCCCAGGAAGGGCCCCACCCTATCTCGGCCTTCCATCATCTGCTGATGGACACCCGGTCGCTTCCATCCTTTGGCGATTGTGGGGAACTTCCGTGTGCAGGTATTTGTTTAAATACCCGGCTGCAGCTCTTCTGCATCGCCTCTTTCAGACATCTGCCCCAAACACACGAATCCCCGGGGTCCTGGATGTTCCGGGAGCCACAGGCCGAGTCCTGTCCTGGTGTCCCCGTCACGGACGATGGCTGCGCGGTGGCTATGTGCCGACACTCTCTCAGCGGTCTCGCGCCTGGCCTGGGCGACCGCCCTGGGGGGTCTCCTGGAGGGTGGGGTCTCTGCCCCTCCTGTGATGCAGAAGCTGCAGCTGTGGGGGGGGGACAGGGAGCTGCCAGGGCAGGAAGAGGGGCGTGGCCACTGCCACTGGCCCCGTGTCTCCCCCAGCACACTGCCTCCTGCCTGGTCTTGTGACCCCAAAACTCTGCTTTTGAAGGTTTCCTCACACTTGGACCCCAGATGCTCCTGAGGGGGACCATCCCCCGGGCAGGCTGCAGGGTGCCTGGGCAGGTGGGGCAGGGATGGGGTGGGAGAGACCAGTCGGGCCCCCAGCCCCCAGAGAGCTGGGATGTCCTTTTTCAATTGGAAGTGAATTCTCAGATGTCAGACATACCTGGATCCAAATCCGAGCGCAGAAGACCTTCTGGAACTGAAAAGAAGCCCCTCCTGTTTTTTCGCTGGGGGCCGGCGACCTGTTCAGGGGATCCGGGGGTGAGCCTTTGCCCCCAACGGCCCCCTGGGTCACAGCCGGAGGCGCAGCAGCTGGGGGGGCGGGGTGAGCCATCCTGCCTCAGTGGGTCTGAGCCCTGCAGCCAGCGTCTCGGGGGAGGGTGGGGGTGGGGACCCTGCACACCCCGTGTTTCTCGGGGGAGAGGCGGGACCTCCCCCGATCCTCACCGGGCTCCTCCCCAAGTGAAGGGCCTGTCCTGCCGTGGGACCCTCTGTGTTTGTGACAGTCCCCAGCCCCCTCCGCTGTCCCCTCCCTGTAATGCCTCTTTCTCATGTGGTGCCACCTGGTTAATTCCAGGTAAGCGGACTGTGCACGGGAGGCTCGGATGGGAAGTGGCGATTATCACATGCTTATAGCTCATCCAGCACAAGATGGTTTTAATGGTCCCGCCTGGGGACATCAAGCGCCTGGCCACTTGTACTCCGTGGAGAGCCTGCGCTCCTCTCCTTTCACGATGATCCACGACTCCCCGGGGGCGGGGGGGGGTGTCCCTGGAAGACAGGAGACTCCTCCCCGGGAGGGGCTCAGACGAAGCTACCTGTGTGCTGTTGGCTGTCTGGGATGCGCCCGGCCCTCCGGCCTCCCCTGGCCTGCTCCGCCCGGCTGGTGCCTGCCCGACACCCGGTGCCCCGCTTGCCCCCCCAGGGTGAGCGAGGTCGGCGTCCGTGTTACGCGCAGAGCCCCGACCTGGCCTCATTGCCGCCTCACTTCCCGAATTTGCCGGGGCCACTGCTCAGGTCTCCAAGCTTTGGCGGAACGAGCTGTGTCAGGTGGCGTGTGCGTGCGTGTCCCCGGCGTGTTCTCTGTGTTTTCTCGCACACCGCTCAGGGACTGCCCATTCACGTCTGCAGCCTGGTCTCTTGTATGTCAGCAGCTGACTCTGCACACAGACATGCCAGCCAGGGCAGCGGGTGCCCAGAGTGCTCCAGATCCTCCCTGGGGGCTCCGGGGAAGGTTCTAGAAGGGATGGCACTCCTAGTGGTGAGGGCAGGGGTGGGAGGAAAGGTGGGCAGAGATGTTTGGCCATCCTGCCTGGGCAGTGTTGGAGGAGAGAGTGTGGGCAGGGGGAGGGAGGCACCTTCTGGTTTAAGGGTCCTGGAGCTGCTGTGGCAGCCGGCCGGTACAGGGCCGTCACTGCAGGGGTGGGGAGGTGCTTCATGCAGCCAAGGGGGCTCGCGCTGTGTGGGCCGGGCCCCAGTGTGAGGGGTCAGATGTGGGTGTGGCTCCGCCCAGGCCTGGTGCGCAGGTGTGTGTCACACAGAGCCTGCCCCGGAGAAGGAGGGGCCGCCAGGGCGGGGCCCACCCCAGTGGGGACGAGGGCGCCTTTTCCGTTCACCTAACGGAGTGACACCAGCTCGTCCCCTCCTGGGAAGGACTCTCGT